TGCCTCTAAGTCGACCACCTATGGTAGTGCAAAAAAGTTGGCTTTCAGCCCGACGAACATAAAAATACATCATGACACCATGTACAAAAGGCTGATCTTCCAAAGACGAGGAATAATAAAAGGAAGGTTGGAAGAGATTCCTGGGGAAGGACTAGGCAACCACCAGAGAAGAAGTGCGAAGTGGTTGAAGCGTATGTGATTACAATAGCAGCAACCGAGACAACCTCCCCGAAGAAGTATACAAGAGGTTGTCCAAAGTGTAATGAATATCGGTATCATCACAACGGTGCTTGTTGGATTTGTAGCAATTGTGGCAAGAAGGGCCACCTTTCTTAAAGATGTACAGTCCCAACACTTATACCAACACCTGTGAGAAACCAAGGAGCCGCAATAGCAGCAGGAAGTTGAGCTTGTTATGAATATGGGGAGGTAGTGCATTATAAGATAGATTTCCTGAAGTTGAAGGGACGAGAAGGAAATGCCAGAGGAAGGGAATTTCTCATAGGAGCACAGGATGTCATCCACGATCCAGCAGTGGTCTCTGGTACGTACCTAATTAACAATTTATATGCGAACGTACTTTTCGATTCTAATGCTGATAGGAGTTATATTACCCTCAAGTTTAGGAAATTATTAAATCATCCATCTAGTAAACTTAGGGAAAACTATACAGTAGAAATGGCCAGTGGTCAAATCGGTAGCACCCAGGAAGTACTAGAGAATTGCACTATAGAGTTAAGTAATCACACATTTCTCGTCGACCTCATGCCTATGATTAAAGGAAGCTCGATGTCATAATAGGCATGGATTGGTTATCTCTTCATCACGCAGAAATCTTATGCTTCGATAAAGCAGTACGACTATCCTTGCCAAATAGAGAATCCTTAACCGTCTACGGAGACAAGCCTAGTAAGAACTTCAGGATCATTTCCTATATAAAGGAAATACTTGCATAAGAAGTATTACGACTTTCTAGCCCACGTTGTCGATAAGAGAGAAAAGAAGAAATAAATCAAGGAAGTACCTCAGGTATGCGACTACCCTGATGTATTCCTTGAGGATCTACCAGGATTACCACCTGCATGTCAAGTCGAATTTAGGATTGATCTGATTCTAGGAGCAACCCCTGTAACAAAGTCTCTCCTTATAGATTGGCACCATCAGAGATGCAATAGCTATCTAGCCAACTACAATAACTTCTTGATAAAGGCTTCATTAGACCAGGCTTTTCGCCTTGGGGAACACCAATACTATTTGTCAAGAAGAAGGATGGATATGTCCGGATGTGCATCGACTACCATGAGTTGAATAAATTGACCATCAAGGATCGGTATCCACTTCCCCGAATCGATTATTTTTCGATCCACTCCAAGGATCAAGATATTTCTACAAGATCGACCTATGATCGGGATACCATCAACTATGACTCATGGAAGAGGACATTCCAAAGGCTGCGTTTAGGACACGCTACGATCATTTTGAATTCTTGGTCATACCATTTGGACTGACTAATGCCCCAAGTCTCTTCATGGATCTTATGAACTGAGTATGCAAGCCCTACTTAAACAAATTCTTGATCGTATTTATCGATGATATCCTAATATGCTCACGAACCGAGGAAGAGCAGGGTAGCATCTACGAATGATCCTGGAATTATTAAGGAAAGAAAATTTGTATGCAAAATTATCTAAGTGTGAATTTTGGATTAGAGAAGTACACTTTCTAGGGCATGTAGTTAGTGAGGAAGGAATTCATGTTGATCCCTCCAAGATTGAAGTTGTGAAGAACTGGTAAATACCCAAGACACCAACCGAAGTGCATCAATTCCTAGGTCTTGCAGGATATTATGGGAGATTCATAGAGAACTTATCCTGAATAGTCAAGCCTCTAACAGCATTAACGCAAAAGGAGATCAAATTTGTTTGGGAAGACAAACCAGATGCTGCTTTCCAAAAGCTAAAGGAAATGTTGTGTAGTGCACCAATACTATCCCTTCCAGAAGGCACCGAAGATGCAGAAAGAGAAAGTCATAGATTACACCTCACGAAAACTCAAGTTGCATGAGAACAACCACACCACCCACGATTTGGAGTTGGAAGCTATAGTTTTTTCTATGAAAATATTGCATCATTACCTTTATGGAACGAAATGCATAATCTACACGGATCACTAGAGACTTTAGCACATCTTCGATCAAAAAGGGGATCAACATGAGATAACGAAGATAGTTAGAGTTGTTGAACAACTATGAATGTGAGATCCGTTATCACCCATGCAAAGCTAATCTAGCGACTGATGCTTTAAGCCGAAAGGAGCGAGTCAAAACCTGAAGAGTTACGACACTCACCCTGACTATCCAATATAATCTTACCACATAGATTCTGGAAGCTCAAAAGAATGCTCTCACAGGAGAAAACATGAGTACGGAAGATCTGCGAGGAATGGAAAAACAACTCGAAGTTAATGAAAATGAAGCAAGATATTTCATGAACCGAATTTGGGTTCCAAAATTTGGTAATACTACGGAGCTAGTCATGAATGAAGCTGATAATATGAGATATTTCATTCACTCCGGGGTAGATAAGATGTACTTAGACTTGAAGAAGCTTTATCGGTGGCCAAATATGAAGATAGAGATTGCTACATATGTAGGCAAGTGCCTGACTTGTTCGACAGTCAAGGCGGAGCACCAAAAGCCATCAAGTTTGTTGCAACAACCAAAAATCCCAGAATGGAAATGGGCACAAGTTTCGATGGATTTTTTAACGAAACTACCAAGAACATCTAGTGGTTATGACACTATATAGGCAGTGGTCGATAGATTGACCAAGTTTGCCCATTTCCTACCAATCAAAGAGACGGACAATACGAAGAAGATGACCAGGACATATCTCCGAGAGATAGTCAGATTACATGGGGTTCTATTATCCATTATATCATATAGAGATAGTAGGTTCACCTCATGATTCTGGAAAAGTCTACAAAAATCTCTGGGTACCTATCTAGATATGAGCACAACCTATCATCCTCAGACCGACAGTCAAAGCGAAAGGACAATCTAGACTTTGGAGGATATGCTCAGATCATGTATGATAGATTTTGGAAATGCATGGGACACTCATCTACCCTTGATCGAGTTCTTGTACAATAATAGCTATCACACCAGCATCAAGTCTGCACCGTTTGAAGCCCTATATGGTTGTAAATGTTGATCACCAATATGCTAGGCAGAAGTAGGATATACGCAAGTAGCAAGGGAATTTACAGGAGATACCTTTCTAACAGGCCCATAAATCATCCATGAGACCACTGAGAAGATCTTGCAAATACAAGAGCGTTCGAAGACTGCTCGTAGTCATCAAAAGAGTTATGTTGATGTGAGACGCAAACCTTTTGAATTCCATGGTGGAGACAGGGTTATGGTAAAGGTCTCTCCTTGGAAAGGAGTCATAAGATTTAGAAAGCGGGGAAAGCTAAACCCAATATACATAGGACCATTCAAGATCCTCGAACGAATTGGTCTAGTAGCTTACCGACTCAAGTTGCCCCAAGAACTCAGCAGTGTGTACGATGTCTTCTATGTGTCAAATCTCAAGAAGTGTTTTTTGATGATACAATTATCATTCCTTTTGAGGAGATTCAAGTCAACACCAAGCTAAGCTTCGTTGAGGAACCGATAGATATTATGGACCGAGAAGTAAAAAGGCTTAAGCAAAGCCGCATCCCCATAGTAAAGGTACGATTGAGCTCTAAGCAAGGACCAGAGCAAACATGGATATGAGAAGACCGAGTGAAGAGCAAGTACCCACATGTGTTTAAAAGAACCGCGACTACAAGCAGAATTTTGGGACGAAATACCTTAAACAGGGGGGGAATGTGACAATTGGGAAAACATCGTCACTGGCCACCGTAGGGGTGAGCAAAAACCGAACCGACTAAAAATAAACCAATAAAACCGCAACCAACAAACCGAAACCGATGCAAAAACCAATAGTGCGGATTTCATTTTTGCAAAAACCGAAAGTCTGCGGGTCGGTGTGGTTTTTACCAAGAATCCGGTCCATCAAAACCGAACCGCACCGAATATTTATAAAATAATAATTCACTAATTTATATTTATATTCTATAATATATACATATATTTTTTAAAATACTAAGAAATATTAATACATATTATATTTGGACTTTGGCAGACTAACTGAAAAGCTACCTGTTAACTGAAAAACTGACTGCTGTCTGAAAAGGTAGCTGCTAGTTGACAAGCTAAGTGCTAGCTGATAACCTAGCTGATAAAATTTGGCATTTGGTAAAAACTAGCTGATAAGGTGGTTAGAAAATGTAAAATGACATAAAAGGACATTTACGAAAACGATTCAATTTTTATGTAAATCATAAAAATAAATTAAAGAAAATACTAAATAACATTTTTACGACTATTTATGTTTAAGTGAAATGTCGTGCATTCCAGATCATATTCGCAATATTGTCACGAATTTCTCGCATCTCATGTCGTGACTGTCGAATATTATCATGACTAAATCTTGAATAATTCTCTTGTTCTTCTCTAGGTATGTAATTATGTTGTTGAACAATGTTGAAAACCATATCTTCCGAATCATTTCTTCGAATATAGTTATGAAGGGTAAATGTCGCCATGATCACATCTATTTGAGTCTTCTCACTAAATTTTGGCATTATGTTCAATATTTTCCACCTTTTCTTCGACACTCCAAACGAACGTTCAATACAACTTCGAAGAGATGAATGTACACGGTTAAAAGCCTCTTGAGCATTGGTTGGAAGTACATGTTCAAACTGTGATTGATGATATCTAAGACGTGGATATGGTGCCAGATATCCTTTTCGGTCAGGGTATCCTTTGTCTACTACATAATATTTTCCTATATAAAAATAGATAAATAATAAATTCAAATGATTGTTAACGCAACAAATATTAAAAAGTAAAAAAGTAATTATACCTTCGGGGGGCTTAGGAAAATTCATAGAAGGTGTCTCAATTGCATGAAGGAACACTCGAGTATCATGCGCCGATCCTTCTCACCCTACAGATATAAACGTAAAACACATGTCAACGTCACATACGGCCATTACATTGAACGTAGGGACTCCTTTTCTTCCCATATATCTCATTTGGTCGACCATCGGGATACATGCATCTATATGAGTACCATCAATGCATCCAATGCAATCCTATTAAGAAAATGATTAAATTACACTACTGAAACATATGAAAACAAAATACCACAATGAATTACCTTGAAATAAGGCATATATCGACTATCATTTTCAATATGAGACGGTATGAAATGAAATGTTGCGTCTTTAGGTCTAATATACTCACGTGCAAGACCCATGAACCCTTTGCTCCTTCCACATATTGATTCCAACACATCATGAAAAGCCCGACTAATTGTCTCTCCAGAACGTTGAAACCTCTCGGCAACATCTCTGTTAGAAAGACCTAGTGCAATTGTATACAAGAATATTCCAACCTTTTCTTTTACGGATATTCTATCACTTGACTTCAACCCATAATTTTTTTCCAAGTCTTCACATAGTTGTGTAAATAAACTAGCACTCATACGGAAAGCATTAATACATCGTATTGGATGACCGTCCAAGATCTCGTTCATCCACGCTTCTCCTGTCTGCTTTGAAGTCATACACGGCTCCTTATAAATGTGAGTGTAGTAATAATTAACCACTGCTACATGTTCTTCTAGACTACTCAATGTTAAAAGTAGAAGTTGATTCCTTTGATTGTCATCCATTGCAAGCTGTATTCATCAATAACATTACAAGAAAAATAAATAAATACCAAGTAGGAAGGTAACACCAAACTAAAATACAAAACATTGCAAATAAACAAGATTAAAATCCAATGAAAAGATAAACATCAAACTAATTACTAACATTAAGTTTGAAAATAAAATTATTCACTAAAAAATCCATTCAAACTAAATTCTTCAAATTGTATTTCTCGTATGAGAAAACTTCAACCAAGCCAATCTAACATCATCACTCGACATCTCAAAGAATATATCTCTATTACTTGGATCCCGAAACATAAGCATCGCATGGCACCAAATATCCCCACCAACCTCAAAATCATCATTTGCAGCTATCCGGTTCATAATTTCCATTATCTGCTTAATATTAGGTCCTACATCGTCCTTTTTAGTGTTTGGACCTTGCTTGATCAAACCCACAATATCTGAATGGATTTCGTGAACCTTTTCTATATGCTCCCTCATTAAACCAGTGCCCGTGGACTCCCTTTTTCTACGCTTCACACTTTTGTTACTTTGTTTAGGAACATCAGAGTTTGTAGGGTTACCAGTAACCTCTTCAGTAAAATTAGTCCAAAAAGAATTTTCTTGATTATCTAGACTCTCTAGTCTTGAATATTGAGAGTATTCACGCATAGCCTCATCAGACCAACCATTTTCATTTTGTATCTCGTCTACAACATTAATTGATTTATCTACAGACTCCGGATTTAATGAGGGAGATACACAACCTACTCTTGTTGTAACAGCATCACCAAACAGATGATCCCATTTTTCTTCTAGTAATGGATAAACTCCTTTGTGGCGGTACTTCTTTGCATCGGGTTTCTCCTATAACGTGAACTAATAAGACACTATAATATCAAAAGAATACTCAATACTACAAATATAAATATCTAAGTAATACCTTTAGCTTTCTATCCCACCATTCATCCGAACAATCTAGCTTTCCAGTGGTTGGGTTCCAACCTAAACCAGTTTCTCCTGTTTTTAAAAATTTCCAAAGGCGCCAATATTTCTTCATGCTATCATACTTGTTCTTTAAGCTTTTAAGGTTAAATCGTTTACCAATCTTTTCTGCAAACAAATCTTCTATCTCTCTCCATCTCATGAGTTGACCACGTCCATTCTTTGTAATGTAGTCGATACAAACCTCACAAAATTTTACAGCATTCTCATTGTTCCAGGATATCCCTCCTTCGGTATCTTTGTTTGGAGCCATGTTTCATCTAAAATCCTTGTACAGGTGTTGTATGTAAAATTCAGCAGCAAATGGGGAACATAGTACAAGGCTATAGTGAGAGTAATAACCAGAAACAAACAACACCACCTCCAGAAAAAGTAAGACCAAATAGTTACAGAAAATGTATTAACCCCAAGGAATAATGACTAAAATTATCTTTAACTGTAATTGACAATCCTAATAATTTAGTGACTAACTTCAAAGAAGTATGCTCAATATAGCTGTGCACTTTGAACAACACACCAAATACTCAAATTATGGCATCAAACATAAACATTAAAAAAACAAAAAAAAAAACTTGGGAGAAGGGCAGTAACTCAGTGACTAATGAACCACAAGTAAGAATTATTATAAGTTTATCAACCCCAAGGAATAATGACTAAAATTTTTGTTACCTGTAAATGACAATCCTAATAATTTAGTGACTAACTTCAAAGAAGTATGCCCAATATAGTTGTGCAGGTTTAACAACACACCTTGATCAATACTCCAAAAATAGCATCAAACATAATAATAATAATAATAAAAACTAGGAGAAGGGCAGCAACTCAGTGCCTAATGAACTACAAGTAAGATTTATTGTAAGTTTTACCATATTGTTTAATTCTATCTTTCCTGTTGGTACGATTTTTGAACACTAATTGGGAGAAAAAAGGTATCAACTGGAAGATAAAAAATGAGAATAACCAAAACAGATGGAACCAAAAGACCCATGTTTCTGACTTCATGGATAATGCATAGGAAACTAGAATAAAGAAGATCTAAAAGAAATTGTTTATTAGTATTTAATTAGGGAGTTAACCGAAAGATTTATGTTTCTTCCTTCTCGTTATGCATTTTTATTTGGTTTATTGATTCATTCCTTCACATATATTCATGCATAATTTGTAATTGTATAATAAACTAACTTAAAATTAACCCCAGACATTGCGTAATAGAAAAGACATTGCAATTTGGAATGAAAAATATCTAGGGTATAATAAACTAATGAAACAATAAAGAAAATCAAAAAGATGCATACTTGATGATGATAAGCAAAACCCAACGATTCCCACACAAATTGGTATCTTCAATGATGTCCTTCTTTTCTAATAGAAATCAATAACATCGATAATGCCTCGCTTTATAGAAATCTATGGTGGAGGGAAAAGTTTTTTGTGATTTGGAGGGAAATTGTTGATTTGGGATAATCACGTTCCTGATTTTTTGTGCTCGTTCATATCTTTTGGCTATTTTATGAAGGACATAATCGGAAGAAATATAATAAGTTCCTTCAAACATTTGTTGGAGTAGCTTATCAAAAGGCTAGCTTATAAGACATCTTATAAGCTAATTTGTGGCTTACCAAACATGACACACCTAAAAAGGTCAAAAATTAAGTTACCTTATAAGCTAACTGTGGCTCCCCAAACACAAGCCATTTAATCGGGATTCCAAATCATTTTCCAAACTTAATTTCTATTTTGTTTTTATTTTTTTTAGTTAAAACCACAACAAAGTAGGTCACTAATTAACTATGTGTTATAATGTTATAACAAGTAAACCAAAATTCAATTTTTTTCTTAGTCAACCGTTGTGTATATAGTCACTTAGAACTTCTGATTTATATAATTTAGTTTGGGCTGAAAATAAACTTTTACAAATAACGGTTTCAAAAAGTGAAAAAAATTGCACCATACAAATTTACATGCACATTGTAATCGTGTTCTTTTTTAAATACACCAAAAAACATCAAAGACCACACCGAATTTTAGAATCGGTTTAAAACCGAAACCGCACCGATACAAACCGAAACCGCATTTAGAAACCTAAAAACCGAACCATTGGAAAACCGCACCCAACGGTTTTAAGAATGCAAAAACCGCACCTTGCGGTTTGCGGTTCGGTTTGGCCTAAAACCGCACCAAACCACACCATGCTCACCCCTAGACCACCGTTACAAATTAGCTTAGATAAATAAATGTAATAGAGTATCAATGTGATACTTCATTTTATAAATAAATATGATTGTGTATACTCTTACATTTAAGGATAAATTGACTTATACGTTCAAAAATGAGTATCCAAAAAGTCGTGTCATTTTCTAAGCTGGTTAACAAATTTGGAAAGTACAAGATGATTTGATTCCAATGATATAAGCTTCATAAAAATCTAACTTCGATTGGAATAGGATTAAGAAATCGGTTGAAGTTTTGGCTAGCGTCACCAAAAGGAAAGTCGTAGTATTTCTCGAAGTGAGAATAATAAGACAAAGAACACTAAAAATGGAGTCTGTATGAAGAAGATATGATTTTTATAAAATCATTAAAATCATACCCCCGTTAGGCCAAAAGGTGAAAATCAAAAGTAGCCAAAACAATCTAAAGGAAAGTTATAGTGCTATTTGAGACCATCACATTGATATAAAGAGGGTTAAGATTGGAGCTCATATGTAGGAGATATGATTTTTACAAAATCATTTCTGCACGCACGAGGTGCACGCCTTGCCAGGCATGCATTCTGACCCCAGATTCGTGAAGATTATAGGTGACGTAGCCCAGGGAGGGAGTGACACATGACGACTCCCGGATTGAGCCACGAAGCTCACGCTCATAGATATTTACGTCGTGCGCACCTCAAAACTTTGCTATAAATAGAGGTGTTCGCAGATCACATTTGTACACCCGTCTTAAGCATTATTCTCTCTCTCTCTATCTCTCTCTCTCTCCCCCTCTCTCTCTCTCTCTTGTCGAAGCCACACCATCCCGATGCAATCTTACAAGTCCCGCACCCTGAATCTACCCTATATCAAAGTATCACGCTTCTAATGTGAGTTTCACGGCCCCACGTTTACTGTCGTCAAATGTTTTATGGGTGAGGATGGGTGGTGGTGGTGGGGGGGGGGGAATACATCCTATAAAACTATTTCAATGATTTTACAAAAGATTATTACTTGTAATATATAAATAGTTTTGAAACAGCATGCAAACGTTAGGATAGTATTATGTCCAGTTGTTACCCTACCTATGCCTTAAAAATGATATTATGCATAGTCGTTATAATGCCTAAGATTATACTAAAAGATTATACATAGTTGTTAAGCTGGCAAATTCCTTAAAATAACCTAGTTTATAGTCATTATGTTGGCATAATTTTAGGATATACATTGTACTTAGTTGTTACTCTTCCCTAATATCCTAAAAATGTCAAAAACCTAATAATTTTGGATATGGTATAATATATATATATATATATATATATATATATATATACACACACACACACGTATCAGAATGATTATGGAATAAAAAAATATCAAAAGGAAACGTAAGGATAGGCAATGTACTTGACTATACCATAACTTATCAAAGATATCAAAACAAAGATAGTTATATAGTTATATATATATATATATATATATATATATATATATATATATATATATATATATATATATATAGCGTTAGTAAGGAAATGTATATTAAAGAAAAACCTAAAGAAATTATAAAAAATAAATAATCATAGGTTAACAAAATATGTGTTAAATGAGGCTTATTATTCTTCCATAGCTAATTGATATTCAGTTACCCCATACCTATAATCGTTAATCTTAAGTGAGTGTTAGAGGTATGTATAGATTTATACGAGATTGACACTCCCACCTTCGTTTTCTAACTACAACCCCGACAGACGTAACTTTATAGTCTTTTTCCCGACGTCCGATGAAGCGTCGTGGCGGGGGAATTTCAAGTCATATACCTCGATTGTAACTAAAACAAAATTGCTGATAATTAACAATAACAAACTAATCTTGATAATATTAATCATTAAAAAATTAATATTAAAATTGATAATGAACAAACTAATATCGAAAATGATAATAAACAAACTAATATTGAAAATGATATTGACCAAACTAATAATGAAAATGATAACGAACAAACTAATATTGAAAATGATACCGAACAAAAAAAATATGAAAAAGGATAACGAGCCTTTAAACATATATGATCCAAGTAGATGTAATAATATTATACTAATTTAAGAGATTTAATTATAGAAAATGGTCATATTAACATTTATAATTTTAACTTTCCAAAAGATCAACATTTAAGAAGCTTTACTACATCTCTTTATATGCAAAAAAAAGAAGAAAAATATGAACGAACTTGGTTGGTTTATATATATATATATATATATATATATATATATATATATATATATATATATATATATATTGATTTTGTTAATTATTTAATGTGATTATATCTTCATGTTAATTAGCTAACAAAGATAACAATTATTGAAATTATATTTCTAGTATACTAAAAAGACATGAAGCAAGCAACTGACACATTCTTAATATGAGAGCATGGATTGACTTACAAACTAGATTAATAAATAATAAAACAATTGAGAAGCAACCCAAGAAAAAATAAATAGAGAAAAAGAACATTGGAAAAATGTGTGAATAAGAATCATCGTTGTAATAAAAACTTTAGGAAAAAATAATTTAGCATTTCATGGAACAAATGAAAAGATTTATCAAGAAAATAATGGTAAATTTTTAAGTATAATTGAAATGATAGCGGAATTTGATCTTGTTATGCAATAACATATTAGGCGAATTAAGGACAAAAAAATTCATAATCTTTATCTGGGACACAGTATTCAAAATGAAATTATCAGTTTATTAGTAGAAGAAGTTAAAAGCGAAATTATTAAAAAAATAAAATAAACTAAATACTTTTCAATAATACTTGATTGTACTCCCTATACAAGTCATAAGGAACAAATGTCAATTATCTAACGATGCTTAGATCTTTCAGCAAATCCTATAAAAGTTAAAAAATACATTTTGGAATTTTCAATTGTAGATAATACAACCGGTAAGGACTTATATGATGTTATAGTTGCTGAAATTAAAAATATAGGACTAGATATAAATGATGTTAGAGGTCAAAGTTATGACAATGGATCAAATATGAAAGGAAAACATG